GAGGGCGGGGGCTGTCTTTTGTTATCTGTATGATTGCTCTGTCCACAGGTCTACTGCTGACTACTAATAGCCCATTCCTCATCAAGTTTTAAATTGTGCCTTTCTCTTATTTCAGTGGAATGGCTTTGAGAATTCTAATGTTCTTAAAAACCACTAGCTCTCAGGAAACTCATTGCTTCCCTGGGCTCATCTTGATTATGCTCCATTTTTCTAACTTAATTTCTTTCTGCTATCGGGCTGTACTCTGAGAGATTAGAAGCAGGTGTTCAGAGGCCTGGGTGTGGGACTTGGCATTTTGCTCCAAAGCCGATTGTGTGACCAAGGGCCAGTCCCTCCGTCCAGTGCATCTCCCTACCTCTGGTGGTAACTGGGCCCAGAGGAACAAGCCCTAGAATGGAGCCCTGGGCTGCCTGCCACTCATGGATGCTCCTGGAGTGGCCACCTCCCTAATCTGGTCCCTGCTTCTCCTCCTGTCAGTTGGAAGAGTTGAGGTGGCTCATTTTTTTTAAGGTCCCTCAACTTTAATCTTATATGGGTATTTGATGACTGAATGAAAAAACATATGTGAAACAATTATATGATTAATTTAATAATATTTAAAATGATGACAATGAAAATAGGATTAGTAGTTTTTCTAGTATGTGGATTTGTCCTGTATATAAAAAACACATTTAAAACAGCCAGCTGCTTTGGCATCTGTGTGTTGGAATATATATTGCATCATGCTTAGCAAAATAATAATAGCTCTTAATTAAATGAAACGTGTAATGAGGACTTACTGAGAAGTGTCAAGATTGTCTAGCTGTCTACTACTCGCTCTTACTTTTCAGGCAAGGGAATTAAGGTTCAGAGGGCTTGCTAGGTCCTATAGTTAGAAATCTGTCTCCAAACTCCTATTCCTTGTTTCTTTTTATTTGTCGTAGTTCAGATTTTGCTGTTATTTATTTATTTATTTATTTATTTATTTTGCCTAACATGTATCTAGCTAACTGATCTCTCTCTTTCATCTTTGATATTACCATGAAGCTGTTTTCTCAGGAGAGCTGAGGATGAACACCGGGGTACTGGCATTCTCTTTCCCCCCTATACTGAGACAAATTAGTGAAATAAAAGTTCCAGGAACTGACTGGGGGCTTAGGAGGAATAGAGGTGAACCACTGGATTTGTAGGTTCAAGCCTGGTCTCATTCTCAGTATGTTCTCGTCAGCGAGTTCATAAACCCGAAGCTCTAAAGCTGGTAAGATCCTTGAGATTCATGAGCTGTCTCCTTTTTTCCATTTCCTACAGGTGGGATCATTGAGGCTCAGAAACAGAACCGAAAAAGGAATCCACTCACCTGATTCTCAGTTTAGGGCTTTTTTCATTATTCTACTGGTCACTCATCGGAGGGAAGATCTTTTTCCTCAGTTGGTGAGTCCTGTGCAGAAAAGACGACTTTTCCTTTTTATAATCAATGTGCATGTTTTAATGAGTTTTAAAAATCAGTGGTTTCCATTTAAGGAAAGGATGGCACTAACAACTAGCATGGTCTAAGAACTAGAGAAGAACCAAAATGTTCTCTTTTTTCTGAAGTTAATTTCATTGGCAATGGATACAATATAATAATGCTAATAAAATATGAGGCAAAGAAAAGGCAGGGCTCAGCTCTTGGCATGAAGAAAGATTGGAAGAAAATTTGGAGTCGTGATGATTTCCGGTTGCTGATAATTGTATTGCTTCCTTCTTTCTCCTTTGGCATGGGAGGAAGTGTTCTTGAAATTGAAAGACCAAATGAAAATGTCAATGAACAGTCTTATGGGCATCTGTGAGGAAAGAAAGTGATATTATTGAGTGGCTCTCGTTGACCCCTGTGTAAGGTGCTTCTTCTGTGATTTAATTTCATTTTCACAACAATCCTTTGAGGTAGGGGAGGCTAATTTTGCTTAGGCAAAGGATAGGGTCTGCTAGATCTTCATTGGGATCTGAGTTTGAATCCTGTTGCACATTCAAAAAGGGGAATGGCGACCAGGTAAGGTAAACTTTCCCTTGTGTTTTGGAATTCCTTTGTGTTTAGAGGGCAGAGTAGAACATCGTGTTCTAGAAAAGATGGGTGGTAAAAAGAATCAATGGTGGGGGCTACCCCGGGCTGTGGGGAGACTTGAGGAAAATAGCTGGGGAATTCTGGGAAAGGCTTCTATTTAGAATTCTAGATCTGTGGTAGCCATCCTGAGGGCCAGTCTGTCTGTGCGCCCAAGCAATGGCTTTATACTGAGTAGATAATATGGCTTACCATGCTTATGATGCAGTTTTCTAAAACAAAGCAGATGCTTTTGTGATTGAGTAAACCTAGCTCCACTTAAAAGTGTGGCTCAGTTAATAGCTACATTTTGTCACTCTTTTCTTCATCAATGTATTTTAAAATAACAACAAACTTTCTCTGCACCTATAGAACTGCATAAGATAAAAGGCTAGAAACCACTTCTTTGACTCTTAAACAGTTTAGCCTATTATAATTTCACACATGGCCTTGAATGCCTTGCCCCAAGCATACACTTTAAGCATCAAATGTGAATCTTTGTTATCTGTTCTACTTTCTGATTTTTTTGCAGTGTTTGAAATTAAATTGTGATGAATATGAAGCCTTGCATTTGGATTTGAAAGGAAAAAAAATCTAGTGTGTAATGACAGAATGAGAGTACCTAAACAGGAGTGAGCTGGAAGAGACGCAGAAGTTTTGTTGTCTGTAAGCTAATTCTGAGCCAACAGTGGTTTTTATCCTATAGAACACTGGTGCAGCCTTAGGCTGCATTTAATAGAGTGTGTTATCTACAACCAAGTGGGTGAGGGTCCACTGGAAACTGGCAAGTTCAGGGGTGATGTGGGCGTCAGGTCCAGTTTGAGCAGGGCACAGCTGTGTCTCTGCTGTGCTCCTTGCTCCGCCCTTTTCTGTGTGTTCACTTCATTGTCAGGATGTTTTACCTGATGGTCAGGAGATGGCTGCTCGCTATAACCTGGGCTGTAGGCCGCCTCCTTGCCATTTGGGGAAAGAGAGCCTTGTTTGTCATATCCCTATAGACTTGGGTGACTGCGTACTTCTGGACCAGCCACTGAAGCCACAAGGAGGACACTGTGGTAATTGGCATGTGTGAACTGGGGTTCTGCTCTAAATTTTTAAACAGTTCCACCCCAACCTCATGGCAGCTACACAGTGGAGATGTGGTGGTCTCTCAAAAGAATATCTGAGTGTATTAGGAAAGGGAGAGAGAACTAAAGCTATGTGGGTGACTATCAACCTTTTTTTAAAAATTTATCTCTATTGTTGAAAGTATTACAGGTGTCCCATTTCCCCCCCCCCCAATTGACCCCCTCCACCTC